AAAAAAAAAAAAAATCCCCTTTCTTCAAGTTGCACGTTGAATTCATGATTTTTTTTTTTATTATTATAAATTTTTTTTAGCCCATAGAATTCACGCATTTGAATATAAGTCTCTTGTTTAATAAATAACCCTAATTGTCTTTTATATATGAAAATATTGTAGTTATCATATAATATCAAATGAAATTTGTGCCCACATATTTTTATCACAAAATACCATTTGCCCTCCATATTAAAATACCTCTAAAAAATATTATTATGTAATTTTTTATACTCAGAACTCATTTATTTGTTTTTTTTTATTAATCAACCAAGCAGTACTCGACTCAATAAAGGTTTGGACCTGACTTCGAATTTGGGTATCAGGAGTTCAGGTTCAACTTGACTCGGCTTATTTCCCGAGTAGGAACTAATTTGGAAAAAAATGTGTCGGTTTAAAATGAACGATGTCATAGTTTTAACTAGTACTGACCCGTGCGATGCACGGAGGGTATATTTATCTGATTTTTTTTAATTTAAACATTAAATTTATTGGACTTTGTAGATATGTAACACATATATGATGAAAACAAACAAACATAAAACTTCATAAATTAGTAAACACTTCTTTGTACACAACGTTTTGGGTCTGATTTGGTGGCAAGTCATCGTCATTACACACTAATATCTTCAACCCAATTCGATTGGTGACATGGGAGGCGGCAACATATAATTGCCCATGACTGAACACCGGCTTCTTAAGCAATAACCCAACATGCGATAGCGATTGTCCCTGGCTCTTGTTGATAGTCATGACATACGAAACCATAACGGGAAATTGTCGTCTCTGGAACTTGAAAGAAATTGTGACATCGGAAGGATTTATAGCCATTCTAGGAATTAACACCTTCTCGCCTTCATGATCCCCAGTGAGTATCTTACACTCAATAACATGTGCGGATAGTTTTGTCACAACCAACTGTGTCTCGTTACATAAACCCATAGAATGATCCATATTTCGCAACAACATGACGGGAGTTCCAATCTTCAAATGCAACTGATGATTAGGAATTCCCGAGCATTTGATGCTATTTAAGAACTCGGGCGTATGGATATCAGAAAGAAAATCATTATTCGAGTCGGACTTGAAAGTACTGTCAGAGCTCAAGTACGTATTACCGTCTGATAAATTCAACGAGGTCATGTATTCATTGACGGATTCAACAACAACATCAAACGTCGGTGCTAATATTACCATGTCCTTCAAATAACTGGGATCATCGGTTGTCTGCTTAAACATTGGATACGTGCTTTCTACAATTTGAGCAATCGGATCATCGGATAGTTGAAGCAATATATCGTCAGGTATGTCAATCATTGCACAACCATCGTTTGACCCTCCTATAGTTCCATCACCAATGCTCGCAATCCATTCAGCGAACCGAGCAACCTCTTCACATTCCTCAGAATCTCTAAGACTCTGTAGACGCATGTTCTTTGTAAGCCTGAGCACAGTACAACTCCTCCAAATGTCAGAAGCATCAATCGCAGCATTCACAATATCCTGACGGCCACCCTTCAGAATTACAGGAAGAATTTGTCGGAAATCTCCACAAAAAACAATTGATTTGCCTCCAAATGGTTTGTCCTTTTTAGAAGGATCAATTGCTCCCATAATATCTTGCAACGATGCTTGTACAGCTTCGAAACAATGCTTGGGCATCATTGGAGCCTCATCCCAGATTATCAAAGAACAACGTATTATCAATTCGGCAAGAGGGCTTCCCTGAGTGATATTGCAAGAAGACTCTTGGTGGGGATTCAATGGTATTCCAAATCGAGAATGAGCAGTTCATCCACCAGGCAACAATAGTGATGCTATTCCGCTCGATGCGACACACAACACTATACTACCTTTGGATCTCAAGCCAGCAGATAACGTTCTCCACAAAAATGTTTTTCCCGTTCCACCATATCCGTATACAAAAAAACACCGCCTTGACCGGAGTCGACGGATGACATAATCGTTGAGCAGACTCATTTATGTTCATCCGTCATTTTTTCAAGAAGCATAGCATGTTCAACAGCAAGAGCCTTTCGATCGTAACTCAGCTTATCCAAAATCAGACGATTTGAATTTAAATGCATGTTGTCGCTATCAGGATAGGGCATAGTAGAATAATCACTAAGACTTGATCCACGTCGTCGCAATAAATACTCAATCTCAGCAAGGGCTAGATTCTGGATTTGCTCTTCTGTAAGCAACAAACCTAATATTTGAAAAAAAGAAAGATGAGTTAGCATCACAACAATTAAAAATAATATCATTTGTATATGAAAAGATAATATAACTAATAACTAATTTAATTAAATACCATCATTGTTGAACAGTCGCCGCTGTCTGTACAGAATGTCATCCGACAAAGATTGCCAACATCTTGTCCATAACTCCTCCGGTCTAAGGAAGGAACCAGAAACCAATAATGACGCGAGCATGCGTCTCAGAGAGTCTGCAGATGCCCACTGACTTGCTTCAGTGATGCCGTCTATGTACTCTCTATCATCCTCCAACAAATCCCTTTCGTAGCAAGCATCTCGATATGTAACATACTGCATCTCCAACCTTCATGAAGTCCTCATGACATGTTGCACCGCGAACAACATTGATCAAACACCCAAATAGTAATCATTTCCACAACCAGGAGGTAAATACTGCAGACGACCCACAGATGGTAGGTCTTCATTTTTTCTAGGAATCCACTCCCGTGTTGTTTTATTCCAAACGAACTTCGACGGAGCCTCAACATAAGTTAATTTAAAACATTAATTTAAAACATTTCATATAAGATATAATATATATTTATACAATATATACCTGAATGACATAATAAAAGGCACATAAATGTGTAGAAATACAAATAAATAGACAAATAATATACCTCACAACATTAATTCTGTTTGAAACTTCATTTTCTGTTTCGTATATGTACAGTTGAGCAAACTTTGGAGTAGAACCTTCAGTCGGCAACAAACTTCCAATCAGATGATAGTTCTGTCCGTGCAAAGAAAACACAGGACGTCCCGATCCCTTATTGATATCCGCATCAATTTTACCGCCCATTGAAGTGAAACCAAACATGTTGTTGTAAGATCTTATATTTTCTTGAAAATGTTTGCTAATGTGGCCATCTCCATAAAGCAAATCTTTCAAAAATTGAGGAGGATCTCGTACAGAGGGAAACTCTACTAATCCATTAAGAATACAATCAGAATAATCTGGACAAACTGGCTTCAGACGATGAGATTTTCTTTTCTCGTACCAAAACTTTGCTCCGCAATATTTACAACAGTAGATTGCATCTCCCATGTCCCAGTACTCTACACATATAAAATAAAATAAATTTATTAGATGTTCCATTATAATAAGAATATAATATAATATTTGAATAATATTAATATTAAAAATAAATAACCCAATAATCTCTAGGTTGATGCAAGATTCTTTCTAGGACGACCACAATTTCGTTTTTCAACAGTGGGTTGAATGGGATCATCTTCAGTTAAATCGATAGCATCGCTCCGAATTGGCACAACATATGATCTTCACCGCTTAGACGATGAAATCGGTATTGGAAGAGTAATTATTGTATTTTCCTTTTCGTCGTTACTCAAAATGTCTATGACGATGCTATTCGAACCATGAATATCGGAGTTATTCGAGCTTTTTCCTACAAAGTTATGTTGTCCTGTATATTTATATAATAATATAAAATAAAATTACACAATAAATGATCATAAAATATTCAGTCAGAAAATATTTATCAATATATATAAACTGTAATATAAATGCAATACCATTTGTAATATCAGAGAACGGCATAGGATTTGAAGCATTCGATGAACTTCTCGATCCTATAATCATTTGACGTTTATTAAAACTTTTTCCAGCACGAATATCAGAATCCATAGTACCTAGTCAAAATAACAGGAATGCAATTATTTTCAATTTATTTATATAATCCATATTTGTAAGTACATATCATATACCATAGATTATAATTGATAATGGAAATATAAATTTTAGCAAGAAATACATATATCATATATTATAATATAAAAGAAAAAAATATCCTAATGAAAATATTTGTAATAAATTATCAAAAAAAGAAAATATATATAATGGATCACTACAATATTGAACATATATAAATTGTATAAAGTATAAAGTATACTGTTGAAATATTAGGA